GACGGATGGCTGCCCATCCTCTTGTTGCCTCAAGGGGTCAAACATCTTCGCCTCGGCAGACCCTCCATCCGTCAGCTTCGTCCGTGACGAATTGCTGGTCCCTGGTTGCTGGGGGAGACGAAAGGAGTAGTAAGCTTCCTCCCCGTACCTATTTGTACAGAGGAGGAAGTGCATTGACCACAAGGCCAGGGACTTGGGGGGAAGACCGCCAGCGAAGCCGCTGGTCTCAGACTGATAGGTCAGCAGCTGCGCCAGTAGTAAACGATCAGACACCGACTAAAGAGTAATCAGAGGTGCACGCACGGCATTAAGACGGCGAAACCGGAAAGATTGGGGTTCTTGGATCTTAGGCCCGACGTGCCAACCCCGTCTCACCTTGTGATAGGGCTGAACGAAGACATCAGCCAAAGGTTCAAACCAACAAACGACACCAAGCGGAATTCGATCCGCCTCGCTCGGGGAGATATTGTTTAAACGATTGTTGTAAAGATTCCGGTGTACTTTTCCTGGCGTGCCTGGCGTGCCTGGTGTTACCGTTGTTGGTGCCGTCGAACCAAAAGTTGAGTCAGCAGCCGCGGAATGTTTTTGTCCAATGGCATTTGTCAGTTGAGCAATTGCGCAGTTAAACTTCGGTCAGATTCCATACTCAGACACACACGGCACACACGCTCAGTCCTTTGGCCATGTGGTAGGACCACTTGGCATCTTCGACTCGGATACTTTTTTTCCCACATGGTATATCGTGGTAGGAGGTAGTATCGCCCATCCCCACGGACGCGGCATGTGCTGGAACTATGGCGGGTACTGAACCCAATTCACCCCGGCGGCTCATCTCATATCTCATATCAAAGCAGCCAGATACCCTTTCGTGACTCACCAGCGGCCGCAAGCTGCAGACTGAATGTTACCCCGCTGTGAGATGACAGCATGCTAGGACCAGGCGAAGCGCCTTTTGACTTTCAGTCATCGTACGTTGTGTGAATATCTTCCTCAATCTGTGAGACGAGGCAGATAGGTGGCGAAGATTCTTGACCTCTTACCACAAGAAAAAACAGGGGTCTAGACACAGCCCATTATCAGGCAGGCAGGCAGCATATCAGAGGCAGCATGGCCAAGCGAGTTTGCGGGGGAAGTACCGTGGTAGGGTAGCAGAACCAAGACATCAGGCCATATTCACACAAAAACACAAAAATATTGTTGTTCTCTTTTGGGTAACTGGGAATTGGAATCAGAAAGCGTATTGATGAGGGGTCTAACTCGCTTGGGGGCTGCTAAGAATAAGCACAGCCATCCTTGGTGGTGGCACCAGGAGGGAGTCAGCTTATTGGATACATGCAAAAGTACAATCGATCGTCTTCTGTTAAGCACAGCCATGATGGCCCCTCTCTCATTCGTCAGGTATGACAAAGAACCATCAGCCCGCCCTTCGAGAAGATTGCCGCATTGGGTAACCGGACGCAATGCTCCCAGGATCCAAGCCACTAGCTGAGTTACTAGTGGCTCTTGTAGCGGCTCTAGTGGCAGCCAGCCGTCATTAGTGTTGTAACCCACAATCTGGTATTCGTCTTCCCCAGCCCGCCTTCGGGCACACCAAAAGCCCACCAAAAGGTGGCATTTGTGTATTTGTTCCCAAAACAGGTCAAATGTGCGAACGAGAACAATCCCTAAAATCCAATTTCTCGTGACTCACCGCATCTCCCGTCCAAAATCGCATGCCAGGGGTTGCTGACGAGGATCTTCCGTATTCGGCAACCGGTTGATCGGTGGAGTGAATACCAAGTGATGTCTTGGGAGAATAACGAGGATGCCTGAAATTCCCCCTTTGCCTAATTTTTGCCCTCAGGCAGCCGTCAATTTGATTCGCTGACCTCGGGAGGTATTTTCTTAGCTTTTGTGCATTTCTGACAACAAAGGGCGATGAAACAAAAAGCACTCTATGCGCAACGGAAATTATTGCCATCCCTCGTCGGAGCCATGAAACATTCCCCGCGCGACAAAGGGTCACGAGGGCCAAATTGGATGGCAAACGAAGAGGTTTCGGAAACATGGTGACTTCGGAAGCGCGCACATTTTCTCGTCCGCACCTCCCGGTCCTTTACGATCACGAGGCTGAAGGAGTCGGGGTTTAGAGCTGCATCTTCACAATAATACTGGTGGGGAAGCGAGGCAAACCAGGAAAGTGCCCTGAATCATATACCTCGACCCGTACAAGTATAGGCTCTGGCAAGGTGCATCTGGATGACCAGTGCGCCCAATCTCCTGCACAAACCGGCCGAAGTCGGTGAATTGTGCACCGTCGCAAAGCGGGGGAGTCCATGGAGATTGCGAAAGCCCGAGGGCGCGAGCCAAACAGAGACGAGAAGCAAGGACAAAACAAGTCCATGGCTGACCTCGGACGAATAATTTGTCCTGCGGCCCTTGGGTGGGGGACGAAGCTGCATAACGTCAAGGCCATGCCCTTTCCGGGTCTAGACTAAGGCATAACCTGGTTGCGGCTCGTCATGATGCTTTATGCCCGACGGTGGCATTCGGACCCGGAAGGAAATTTGCTGGTTCGCGTCCGAGCCCTCGACCGGAGTTTTCAAACACCCGTGTCATTCTTGTGCCAGTACGCCAAGGGTTGAAAGCAGCGCGAGACGCCTTCTGTATCAAGTAACTGTGCTGAATACGGTCGTCAGGCAACAACTCACCATTATTGGGTGAGGGAACCGGGCTCGCAAATTGGTCCGAATACGGCCAATACGGGGCTCATGTGGCGTGGCTTGACACTTGAACAACGCTTTTGTATACGAATGCGAGCACCCAATGCAGAAGACTGATTACCACAAACACGAGATGGACGACTTGACGATCAGGGCGCTCATGTGGCTATCGTGGCTGTACCTCGCTGTCTTGTCTCAATCAGGTAGACTTAACCCAGCACCAGGGGGGGGAAGGTATTTGTCGTGTGCTCATTACAGGGCGTAGAGATCTCTCCATCGCAGGCAGCCAGCAATCTTGATGCAAGCTCAGCCCACTGCAAGCGATAACGAATACGCTTCCCGGGAAACGTGTTCTGACCATGGTGGTTGAATGTCAAATCAATCAGGTGAAGCCCGAGGGAAACGATGGCCAGCGACCACAGGTCTCCGGGGATTTGTTAGGGCCTTGAACAGCATCTCCGCGAGAGATGTCTAGGCGCGGAGGGGGAGGGGTGAGAGCCTAAGCGAGCAGCATTGGGCACGTTAGGCTACCTGAAACACATCTCCGGGGATCTCTTTGGGCGTCAGAGATTCAGAGCTACCCCCTCCGCCAGCCCCCTAGAGTGTCTGATAGCAGCGCCCTGATAACGTGAAGGCTCGTTATACTCCTCCCTTCGGCTCGCGTTAGGGCTTCAGACCCTGACGGTCAGTCCACCAATCTCAATGCCAAGTTACCTGTTTGACACAAGAGCTGTGAACACTCGTCGTTCATGGCATCGCTCCCCCCAGAAACGCCACTAAATGAACCCCGAAAGTACCAAAAAAGTGGATGAATTAGGAAAGAGTTCTTGGGAGCTGGCTTGCAACAAACACGAATTCCTCCCTAAGAACACGGTTGATCAAATCTGAGAAGAGCAGCTCGTATAATGCTACAATGAGATCTCGTTACTTTTGTGGCTTGCCTGGGTGGGATTTGAGAATCAGTTCTTGGTAGGTGCACTGCACTGGATTACGAGAGCATGGTAATGCTGGCTGGTCACATCCAAGAGTCCAGAACACGGTTGACCGCCAGGTGGGAGACAAGGACAGACACAGAAGCCGTCAGCCAAGGCCAGCGTTACAGTGCACTGGCTTACCAAGACACAGCGAGCAAGCGGACGCAGACGGACAATCATTGGGTAAGAGGTCAAAGCAGGGGGCAACAGGACATTTCTCAGCAGGTCCCTCAGCAGTTGCTCCCCCAGGAAATGCTGTCATTGAGCTTTCTGCCACCCCTAGCCGCCTTTGTCGCCTTGTCACCTGGTCCCAAAGCCATTATTGATGGGGGAACGCGGAAATACGTAGAGTAATCCGGAAATGCTCCCACCACAGTAGATGCACAGATACGACACCAAAGGCCCGTCATAGTACGAGATAGCACGTAGCCCAAATCTTGCCAGTTTACATCGGTTATCGAAGGGGTGGTGAAACCAATAGAGACGAAACACACAGCAACAGCATAGCAACGATGAAGTGGGATGCCGTAAGAAACGGGGGCAAGGGGGTGAGATCAGACCGGTAGAGGTGCTTCACGAAGAACGATGAACGATGGTGGGCGGTCGAAGGCGGTTGAGAGGGGGGCATTACTCGCCTCGGAGCTGATTGTGACCCAGAGGCCGGGAAGGGGAAGAGCAACGAGATGTGCGAGGTGCAACAAACCGTCCGAGGATCAGGCAGACAAGTCGGCCGAATGCAGTCGACATTGGCCAGTTTGCAGCACAACACAATGACATGCTGCTTTCAGATTTTCAGATTTCTCAGCCTGCAGCCCCGCTTGGTCCCTTCCAGGTAAGAGTCCAAGAGTCACTCGGAGAGAACGTAACACCGCCCTCGGGTTTAGACTCTGGGAGTAGTCACAGCCCTGCTGGTGTGCATCGCTGACCAGGGCCAGGGGGGGCTAGACGCCTGGACAGGGGACCCCGGTCACCTGGTGGAGTTCGGTCTTTACGCACGCTTCGACCCTCTTTCGCTCTCGTTTCTTACTCAGGCACCTTCAATAATCCTAACGTTAATCGGCCCCCCATACATCCATTTCTTACCAACCCGCGAGTTTACAAAAGAAGTCGTCCACCCTCCCCTCCAACCAGCCTCCTTTCTTCTTTCCATCACCATCAACACCATTACAACAAACAACAACAACATTGATGTGAACATTGAGCATTGAGAGAGACAGACTGCTCAATACAAGATACCAACCGACCGGACTACCACAACATAAGGGTACCCACACTGGTGACTCAGAAAGAGATCCCGATCAAAACAATTACCACCACCATCAAAATGCCTTCCTCAGTCACTTTCTCCGCTTCTACAGCGACCACCAAATCAGCCGGGCAATCCATCTACTCCCGACCTCCTCAGAAGAAGCAGAAGATGAGCATCACTCAGACCTACTTCCTCGCCCACAGTGCTCGCGGCAAGCTCTCACGCGAGGCTGCCCGACCTGACCACGACCTCCGCCTGCTGGTCGGACATGCCAACATGCTCGACTCTCTCATGCTGGACTTGGCCAACGCCGAGCAGGAGCAAGAACGGTGGTTCAACAACATTGTCAACGGATCACAGGCACAGGAAGAGGAAGAGGAGGATAAACAGCGACATGTCGAGACCATTGTGGAGGAGCCCGAGGCCGACTGGGAGCCAGAAGACGCCTCCTCCGAAGAGGAGTCTGAAGACGAGTCTGAGCAGAAGCCAGACACCAAAGTCACCGCCATCGAGGTCGACTCTGATATGGAAGATGATGACGACGAGGAGAACGAGAACCTGACTTTGGTCCGCACGGCCTCCCGACACTCCCCTCCCGAGCTCAGTCTCGACACTGATTCAGACTCGGAAGATGACCACATGCCACCCTCACCACCCACCACCAGCATTGAAGTCCTGAGCGAGAAGCAGAGACAGGCCATTGCCACGACCTCATTCTACGATGCCAAGGACAACGCCTCATTATCACCCGAAGAGTCGGAAGCCTTTGAAGAAGAAGGCTTCTACCTTCCCTCAAGGCAACAGCCAACCATAATCGCTGCCTATTGAGCAGGTTGATTGGCCGCCCTTGAAAACGACTCTTAGTGATACCCTCAGCGTTTCTAGCGACATCGCCATCTGACGTCTATTTATGAGCATGGTGTTTTTGGGAATTTTCCGCTTTCAGGATCCAACAATGGCATCCCATGTATTCAAAAGGAAATTTGGGACAGTCTAGGAGGAACACGAGCAAGGGACATGTGAGCAGTGCGAGGTTGGGGAGATGGACTTCCAACACTTCGTTGCCAACCCAGTAGTCGTGGCCTGTGCCAGCCTGGGAAAGTAACGTGGGGAAGGAAGAACACCTCATCGGCTTCGACACCGGTTTCATGCTTGTTGGCTCTGGTTTCTCAATATGACTCTACTCTATGTACAACCGCAGATAGTTCTCCCTCGCTACAAGCTAGCATCAGAGGTTGAGACACCTGACACAAATGACAATAATTCATTTGAAACCAAACCCCAGCTCCTCTCTCCCCGTCTCTTTGTTTCATCCACTGCACATAGTACATTGATTGAGCACACTCTACCTCTCGTCCTTGATTGACTTCCGATCTCCCGATCATCTCAAGTTTGTAGAGGCGGTGGTGGTTGTCATTTCGCGCCGAGACTAAAGCCGACCGACGAAGCAAACATGGTGGGTTGGTTGGCTGGCTGGACTCTGGAACGAAAACTCTCCGAAGCCGCGGATCATGGCAAATTGATTCGAGTCACTCGGAATCGGGTTTTGGGACTTTTTTTTGACTTTTTGCTTTGCTGTTCTCGTGCGCATGTGCGGAGCCAAAGGGCCTGAAGTTGCGGCCGAAACCATCCGTGGGCGCACCCACTGACCACCTTCCCTCCCCCCCAAGCTCTTACTCTTACTCGTACTCGTACAACTATGTACTTGTAGTTCTTGTGGGTGGTCCCATACTATTCGATTATTCTCCTCCCTTCTCCCATTCTCGGACCCGGGATGGTCAGCCAATTTTTTTTATTGCTGCGAGGGCCGAAAGGAAATTTCGCTCAATCAAATCAGAAATTCGAGGAGTCGGCGCTGCCTAGGTTGGTGGTGGTTCTTCACATTTAATCCAGCATTTCATTATTCTTCTTTCCCCGTACGCCCATCCAGGACCCATTCCCATCTTGCTTCTCGTGCTTCATCCTCGGCGTGATTGTTTATTCAACTCGTACCGAGTACAAACAAAAGACCCACGTGTAAAAATCTCCCTTCTCGTCCGACATCTGACTCAAAACTGTGTAGGTACCGAGTACCTCGTACCTTGGAGCATTTTCGCTTCAACTTCCGTCGTTTGTTTGCCCCCCCTTGATTCCAAGGTTTGTTTCTGTAATGCACTTTCTGTTTCTCTCACGCCTCTTAGGTATCTCCACCCAAAGGCAAGCAACCAAGCAATAATTTTTAATCTGCAAATATTTGACTCGGGAAATCTCTCATCATGGGCCAATCACCGGCGACGGCTTCCGTAAGCAACTGTTTACTTCATTCATGTCCATGGGCCACCGCACTGAGTTGCCGCTGGCCTGATGGACCTCAACCACCCTTTTTTTCTTTTGCCTGAGAGCTGTTCTGGGAATGCTTGTGTTTCCCTTTCTGGTTTGCTGAGGTTCGTTCTCCTGGTGGCCTGGCTCGACCAACGAAAATTGTTGCCCACTTCTCGGTACTCTGACATCAGCCCGAGCACCATGGAGCATTTGTTGGCTTGAGTAAGCCTGTGAGTGCAGAGACGAGGCGGCAACATTCTATGATTCTTCATCGCAATGACTTGATCGCCTATCAGATGCATCAAGGGCTTTGGGTTTACCCTGAAAATACAAGGTCTTAGGCGGGATGATTCATCGTCTTCCCTCTACTCGGTCAAGGTTTCTATCTCACAATGAAAGACACATATCCTCTGCCTTCCACGTGCTCTGCGTCGGATTAGGTCAGTGGGTATTGTCGATCAGGCGCGCTCTCATTCTCATGATACTGGCTCTTTTGGTATATCCTGCCTGGTCTTGGTTTCAGGGTTTTGAGGTTGTTTTGTCCATGGAACCGGACGTGGTGTATACGAAGGATGAGGAACCAGACAGTCGGTTCAGTCTCCTTATCGGTTCGCTAGACCCTGCTTTGGTGTTCAGGTCGTTTGCACGCCTGAGCTGGGGACAGTGGGAGGCCGTGGAGGCCCTTTCTGGGGTCTGTGCTCGTAAAGGGATCTGCGGTGACCTCGTCTGTCCTTTTCGGAAGTGACCCTGCCTCGTTTGGTATACCTTTTCTTGTCTTCGGCACGGCGCTCAAGGCTTGGACCTCGCCAAAGCTTGGTGTGTCGCAGGTCGTTTAAACCCACTGGTACAGTTTGCCCTCTACAATCGGGTGTCGATCCGGTCGCCTGAGCTTCACGTACAGCAGCTGTACACGGTACAATTTACCGTACAAGCATTGACCAATGATTGATGACCTGGGCCGCGCCACTGATGTTCGGCTGAGTTGCCATCGTAGATTTTGGTGTGAATCGCACAAATCACCCTGTTTTTTCTTCTTTTCATGATCGAGATCTGCCCACCCACTTCAATCCTATACGGGAATCGCGTGGGTTTGTGCTGCTGCATAATTGCATAATTCCAGCTTCGCATGCACGGCGAATAATATGCTCCGGCCGACGCACGTCCAGCCAAAGTGCAAAGACACCATCACCACCAACCCTCATCCCTGTCTGCATCTGCCTACCTACCTACCAGTACAATGCATTGTACCTCCTGACCTAAGCAGCAAGAGCGACGAGACGCTCACGAGCCTAAAGAGATCGGCGATCCGGAAAAGCGGATACATGTCTCTACAAGGACAAGTCCACGGTACTTGCTTCCAGTGTTGGCCTGTGATCACCAGGTAATCAGATCTGGTGGACACCGGCCGGATGGCGGCTGGAGGGGCCACGGCGCAAATCATTCGTACCACTAAGCGAGCGAAGCGGAGTCCTGGTCGCCAGTCTCAACAGAACTGCCAGCTTTTGGGCCTTGCTTTTCACTGGCCGGTCCTTGTATCAGCCAAAAGGCTCCAGTCGGCTTCCCTGCTCTCAACGCAGCCAGGTTGCTCGACCAATCAACCCTTCATATCTCGCCGGCATAACGCTTCCCCCAATGCGAGCGAAACCGTTGGACCCGTGACCGCTGTTTTGACAACTCCTCGGCTGTGCAATAATGTGTTTGATAAGGCGGCTTTCACCCCCCATGCACCTCATTCAGCAACCTGTCGCTCCCTCGCTCGTCATTGGAACATGTCATACCAACAGTTCTGCAGCGTGTCACAGAGGCAGACACTACCTCGCCGACCGTCCAGTTTCGCTGGGTCGTGCTGCTGGGTCATTTTCTCAAGGCTCGAGTCAGCACGCAGGAGATCCGAAAATGATCTGGTTTACCTGAGCAGCTCTTTGTGGCCCACATCACCTACCTAGAAAGGAAAACCCGAGCCCCTTCTTCTGTGCTCGACACGGTAAGCCTTGCGCCAATGTTCTGCGGGAAGTATTGTGTGTCGTAACGAGGTGGATGATACAGCATTTGACCCTGGGGAACCCCTATCAACAACCTGGTGTACGGTCACGACCGGACATCTTTTGCTCATGGTGGCTGCCCGGTGACGGTTGAGGCGGGATCTTGATTGGATTCATTGGGCTGTTTGCCACAGTGCTTCATGGTTTGGACCACACCGCACACGGCTTCGAGTCCACAAGACACCGTCACAGAGTGCCATGCCACGCCAGTTTACCCGCCAGCACGAATCATTTGGCCATGTCCTCTACTTGTCCATCAGGGGTGCCTTCCAGAAACATTCGAAACTGGCTGAGTGAGCTACTTTGTCATGCAGCTACTCGTCCGTGGTTGGGGCCATTGAGAAGACTTGATTGTCATTGGTCATGGGACGGACATTTCCTATAACGGAATATCCTGCCTTGTCAGCACCACAAATCCACCATGAACTGCAGAGGCTCTGAGCAAGCGAGTTGCTGCAGGAGACGGTTGAAAGTGCTATGCCCTACTTGTTCTTGGGGCCACTCTTATTCACATGCCACAAGCTCCCCTGCCTTTTGCTCCCTTGGAAACCATGTTGGACAGGCCGTCGTTACCATCACCACCGTGACCCTTGCCATTGTTACACTAACTGGGGCCAACAAGGCTGGGAGCTCCGCTCAGAATACCATGTCCGTGGTCCACGACTTCCATCTCGAGAAAGCGCATTAACAGGGTGCCCCTCTGCCGCGCCCTTTCGAAGCGGCTTCCCATTCCTTCGTCTACTCTTGTATCGACGCAGATACGCGAGTCCGCAGCGCTAACTGGCAACCTGTCCACTATGCCGTCATGGCCAAGCGCGCGTTGAAGCCTGGCGACATTTGCTTTCCAAGGACGTTCCTAGGAGTGCTCGTCGAGTTGACGTGGCTTAGGGGCACTCTACATGATCCCAAATGGGTAGGCGCTGGACTTGATAGACGTTGCTAATGCTTTTGCCGACTCAGACAAACCCCGACGCTACGGAACTGGGCGACAGTCGAACTTGGCGGGGCCAGCTACCCCAACAGGCTGAAAACCAGAGAAAATCACCCGGACAGGCGAGTTTCAACGCGCCATGCAAGAGAAGACCCATAGAAGCAATGGCGTGCCGGTTGACAGACACCCCTTGTCCGCGGACTCAACGTCCTGTGTCCACTTTGGCATGTACGCAGAGAGCCTACATCTACGGTAGCTGATATCAGCCTCATCAAACGACTCTCGCTGCTTTACATGGTTTCATGGCGCCTGTGGAGCTGTCGCGATGGTACTTTGTTATCAGGCTCCATGCCGCATACCGTGGTGAGTGCTACCCTCCCTGGATCTTCCTCGATCTGCACGACACACTAGTAGCTCGGTTCAAGGTTGGGGATGAGTCGACGCACCTATGCAAGAGAAGATTCATGGAAGCCTGCGGGATTGCTTCGAAAGGTGACGATCGCTGCTAGCCAGCTAGCCAGCTAGCCAACGCCCCTGTCACTCCAAGGACGCTC